ACTGCGTTAGAGCGAAGCCGTGTTATGTAGGAGTTGTCTATAGTTTGAAACCGATGTATTGCATGATGATGTTCACCAATAGTAAACGTCTGAACAGTGAACATATTAAAAGCAAAGGGTGCTCCAATATACTAGTCTGGAACTTGACAAAGGGAATATGCATATTATGTATATCATTAACCCCCTAGTACTGAGGTGGGATTTCGGAGGCTCCGCTGACTCTATTATTTTTATTCCCATTTTTTCTGTAGTTCCATCAATTTAAATTAAATCTACGAAATTAGTAGTACAACAGACTCCTCTATTCTGTCATGTTCATTGTAAAAGAATTGTCAAGAATCCTGTAATTTACGTATAATTAACTTCAAAGTTCAGCAGTCTCGTAGACTCAACTAGAAGTTTACGTCCCCAATATAGTCCCTCTGTACTAAAAGGTACCTTCCAATGGTATTCCACTAATTTCCATTCATTCCATTCCTTCATTGTCTATACATACCAGATCTTCCTCTCCACACCAGCCACCTTACAGTCACGCATCCGTGCGGAACGGATATTGTCTTCACAGAATATTCTCCCCAGAATAAGCAAAACGAATTCTCCACTATCTCGCAGAAAACATCCAAGATCCTTGCGGTCACCGCGCCCCATAACCGTCAGTCGTTAATCCGAAAGAACAGTCCGCCTGATTGTCTCGAAGACGCGAAAAATCGTCGGAACAAGGTGCATCCAGTGGCTCGAAGTGTGCAAGATTGTGGCCAGTGGCAGATCCCGCAAGAACCGTCGTAGGTGTAAAAATGTCCTTAGTGAGCAATCGACACGGTCGGTTGACCAGTGTCCATCCAGCACGGACATCCTGCGGCGAGGGGTGATGGCTCCCCCACACAGTGCCTCGCGTCGAGTCGAGAAATTCCCTGCGGTCTAAGATGGGTGCCACGAAGAACCTCTCTCTTCTCTCGTTCTGCCGCGGCTCCCGCAGGAGATGCGAATTCCTCGCTGGTAATTATCCTGACGCGCGACATTTGTTAAGACTGCTGTCACCCTGGCCCGTTCGTCTCCTGGAAACAGGCGACACTTAGTCCTCGGTAGATCCTAACATAGCTACCGCTGTGACATGTTACGAAGTAACCTCCTGATGGTACCCAGTGTTTTTGTCGGTTGGCATTAGGTGCTAGAGATGTTCGATTTCGATTCGATTCTTCAGAAGGTCGATTCTCTTGGGTAACACGTAATTGCCATCTATAACACGTACACTAACGTCCAAGAGTACGGGACAAGGTCTGGCGATTGAAGAAAGAGAAAAATATTATTGTACAAAGAGTTAGTGAAGGTAACTTCTTATAACTGATGGGAAGTGTGTATGTATTGATTCCGTAACTTTTATTCCATCGTAACAGAATGAGTTGCTGTTCCATCGATCATAAACTCTGGTCCCACACTTTTGCCCGGTAATGTGCAGACTCCTCTCGATTATCGTCCCGAACTCGGGTCCTCGCCGGGACAATAATCATGTAAGGAGAAATGCTTCAGACCTTCGTAAATTCGTTTTTTGCCCGAAGCCCGAGTCTCGGCAACAAAAGCAGAGGGGCAATAAAGTATGCGTTTGATAGGTTCTACGCCCTCCCCCCAGTGGTAGGGATGAAGTAGAAACTCTCACGAGGAACTTCTATCTAACTCTCATGGAGCATTTACAGTATACAACAGTGACGTGTCATTTAAGAAAATCGATTCACGATTTCGATTCGATTCTTCGGAATCGATCATCCCTCCTAAGTACACGGTAACCCCCCCCCCTGGTTGACTATTTTATCGATTCTCCACTAATCACCAGGTTCGGCGTGATCAATAAACCGTCATGTACCGTTACTATTCATCGAAATAGGAGCGTCGCCGACGAGCAGCCGCTGTTCCGATGATGTATCGCCTAGCGTACGAGGGAGACGGTATAAATTTCCCCCAGCGTGGCGGGCCCACGGGCACGACCGTAAATATTCTCGTCGCGTGAATTACCGTTCCACGGCGGTGATCGTTGAAAAGAAACTCGGAAAGAGAAGACACTGCCTCTCGAGGCGGACAGTCGGCAGTAAATCGGAAGAAAGGGGACGGAAAGGAAGGGGGTCAAGCAGCAACAGCGTTCGCGGGGCACACGATGCTCGACACACCATTACTATGGCCACCGTGTGTACGTGGCTCTGGGACGACAATAAAAAGACGTTAACCACTCCGTTTCCCGGGTCTAAGCGCGCGCACAGGGACGTTGATAAATAATCATTGGCGGTATAGACGACCCGAGCATCTACACGCGCAGGTGTACACATTCAGGCCGGGGCGACACCTGGTGCTGATTAACGAATCGGGCGGAATCGGTTCTGGTCAGGTAGAAGGCTAAGTGGCCGGCTAAATTGCCGCGTTATTCTTGTAAACCGCGGCGTCCTCCCCGACTATCCAATTACCGGACGAGGTGGCAAGATGTCCCTCGGCCTCCTGGGCACCCGCGTGTGTATGTACACGCGTGTTTTCGCCGACGCCGACATGGCGGAATCGCGGGGGCATTTTTTATATTTTTTTTTTTTTATTTTGTATTTTAAAACGCCGCCACCCGACACCATTAAGGGCGACTAATGAGGCGGCGCGGGGAAAAAATTAATCGGTAAATTTTGCGTAGCGCGCCAGTGAGCCGGCTGCAAAACTGGCCTTGGTTACTCGTACGCACGGGGGATCACCGAATTTAACAGGTATCGTTCCGCGGGACCCGCTTTCTTAATGATCGTTCCACTTGCGCGTCGTCAACGTCCACTCTCGGGGCGGAGCGTTGTTGTTATTAATCGAGTTTCCGAACGGGGATGGGACACGTTGAACGCGGAGATGTTGCTCGATTTCCGTAACGAGATACTTCGGGACTTTTTTTTTCGATGAACGTACGCAAGTATTATGTTTGCGCGGATAATGGTTAATTGAGAGATGGGTTGGAGGATACGGAGGTGTGCTCATTGTAGGAATCGAAACAGTCTTTTTGGACATAATTGACTTTCTGTATGGAAGTATCTTAAGATGTCCAGATTAGTGTTGTGCTGATAGTTGGATTCGAAGCAGTCTTTTTGGAAAAATTAGCGATGTCCAAAAAGACACCTATGTATACTGGAATTTCTTAAAATTGTAGTGAATTACAATTTACTTGAAATTTCTAGTGTGCTCTCATGTTTTCTTGATATTGAAGAATGGAAACCTTTCATCCTATCTTGTTTCTTTTGTAAGAAAACAGCTTCATCGACGTTAAAGCTTTGATTCAAGCTTTTAATTTAATAAAGTAGAAGGCACATTAGATACTAAGATAATATACAAAAATGGTTAATGAAATATCCTTATATCCTTTACAAGAAAAACTTATTTCTCGTACCTTTTTATAGATTGAGTAACAAAAATTTGTAGATTACTGTACATGGAACTACTTTTCTATAGATTAGTATTTCAATTCAATCTAAAACTTCAAAGTGGAACTGTGTAATTTTTTCCCTTCTCTATCCTATAATAAGTAGCATTCAGAATACCGTTAATGCACTCCATTTATTTGGATGGACTAATGGTCGTATCCTGGTTTGGATCAACGATTCCTCCATTATAAATGCTCCACATTTTAGCAATCTCTTTCTATCGGCTATAAAAAGGATCATCGTCGATGTCTTTGTAAGAAAAAATCATAAGTTAATATCTCGACAGAGATCCAGGAAATGTCTAAAGTAAAGTAAATCTCCACTCGAATGAATTCTGTCAAGTGACTTTCAACGATGGTGCAACATGAAAAAGACGATTGTTCGAAAGCTATCTATCTACCATCGCATCCAACGAGTGTCTAAATGTAACTGAATATTTTAATTAATTGATAAAATGCAATCCAGGCGATAGCACGACCGGAAACGAACAGATATCAGCAGTGGAATTAACCGAGAATAGGGAGAAACGTAGACACTTAACGTTGTCGTTCGAGTAATAGAAACATCGTCTTTCGATCGTCTGTTATCTTTAAGATTCTGTTTCGCCTTCCTTATTATTTCACCCGTGTAATTCGGTGTAACAGCCATGTCCTTCAAAAATCTACCTCAAATGCTGTTCCGCGACTTTTTAATACCGTTTCAGCGGCGATAAGCCTACGTTCGCGACGAGATAATCCTCGATCTCACCGAAGTGCGAGACAGATCGATACAAAAAATGATGTCGGTACCAGATTGTCATCGTTGTGATACTTTAATCCCTGTACATACGCGGAAAAATGGTTTAATATAATATTTTGCTGTAACTGTTTCCTGCAAAATACAACTATTTTGAAAAGTTTATACGATTCTTACAGATACTGTCAAAAAACTAGTTCCTATGGATGTCTGAACATTGAGATTAATCCGTTCTTCTTGATTAATTGGAGAAATCACAAAAAGTGATCATACCGTAAAGTTCAAAATATTCAAGGGAGATATTTTAAATGTACTAATTCCCCGTAGATTTTATCCAGAGGGGACAATCGAGTGGAAATGGTTAAATTTGTTTGGAAATAGTATTTGATATTTCTTTGATGCGTGTCCTAATCTGCTGGAAATTATACTGTACGTTTTACAGGAACAAGAAACATTATAATCAAGTGAGTACAAGACATTAAACGTATACAAGTTCCGAGTGCGATCAGAACTGCATCACCGACAAGAAAGTTCCATAGAAACCACAATAAACAGTACGTTCATTTGTATTCAGAATCGGTCACGGAACGTGCCGTATTCTGGTCGATTCGCGTTACTATGATTTTGGCAAATATTTTTCAAATTCTATCGTGATAAGTCCTGTTCTAAGTATCTATCAGACGTATTCAAAATTTCTTGTGAATGATAAATGAAGGTTTTGGAAGAAAAGAGCTGGATTATTCTCGCTTCGATACGAGACATTGGATCGGCACGAACTGAATTATTATCGACAATTCAATGATTGTATTAATGGTGAACAGAAGAAGTAAATAGAAAATGGGGAAACAGGTGCCAAAAATGTCAGCTCGGGTAGTCAACGCGATCAAGAATCTGCGAGAGGTACACGGATCCACATCGAGGGAAATCATGAGCTACATCATGTCACAGTATAGTGCTCCGGAGTTGACTATACAAAGACAGGTATTCATTTTGCGTCATTTCCTTCCCTAATCAATTCTTTATCTTACAACATAATAAAACAATAACTTCAATAAAATTCAAGAAATCCTTTGCCTCATTTTAAGGTTAAACTTTACTTTACCGGACTAAAAATTATTAACTTTTTTTGTATCTTCTGGTAGTATTCAACGAGTGGAATGTAAAAATGCAAGTTTTAAGTTTAGGAATCCACTGGTTCAAAAATTATGCGTATGTAAAAACAAGTATTTTTAGCATACTTTACGGGTTAGTATACTTTAATTTCAATCTATAATTCGGCTAATCTAAAGTTACCAAACCCCCAATTAACACACTAAAGATCGGAGACAATAATACATATGTTTTAATGTATTCAATCTAAAAGAAATGTACTAAATTACAAAAAAAAAATAGACTTTAGTTCTATATGTATAATTATATTCACACTTTACCATAACAGAAATTTTTTCATTCATTTCATTTAAAGTTGTGGCAATTATTCATACTTAAATCTGCAATTTTAGTATGTTGATTACGCGCAAACTGCGTCGGCTCTCAAAGTGTTAACTTATTGAGTACTACGGATGCACTATACGTGCACTAAAAAACTGTTATAAACGTGGACCTTAAATGTTTATTTAATCTAAAAACTACATAAATATACATGAATTCAATTATGAGTTGCACAGGTAAATAGGTAGATCTATTTAGAGTATTAAACACAACTTTCGTCAATTACTCCATAACAACATATACTTCGCTTAGACTGTGAATTTTTATGCAATATGAAATTTTATAAAGTAATTTACAAAGGCAGAATTAAAAACAGAAACTTCATTTTCCTCATATGGAGTATATTCTGTTAAAAATGAAATAAGAAATATGCCAAACCAGATTTTTGTCTTCTATTGCATTTCACATAGTCCTTTATGCCATAAATGCATAAAAGCCGCAATCTATTTATTACCTCCGATCATAACCTTCCAACATGTCTAACATTTAGCTTCCTCCTCATAATAACTTATTATTACAACTTTCCTCTTCACATTTACTTACATTCCATTTAATCCCCAGATGCAAGCAGCCCTGAAGCGAGGGTTGGACTACGGAATCCTGAAGAGGCAGAATGGCCACTATTTCCTGAACATGGAGGCGGACATACCGCAGATAATGACGGCGGACTTACCGTCGATGGAGCGAGCAAGGAAACGAAGACGAAGCAGACGACGACGTGGACGTCGTCGACGCAGCAGCAGAAGACGACGCGGAAAAAGTCGTAGGCGACGTCGCCGTTCGCGTCGCAGGAGCAGACGAAGGGGCGCTAAGACCAGGCGGGTCGGTTGCACGAATTGCAGGTGCAACAAGAGGAATAGGGAGCTGCAGCTCCTGCAGGACAGCCCGGTGGAGTCGAAGACCCAAGAGGACGAGAACAACCGCGATAAGGACAACGACGCAGAACGTCGCAACAGGCGCAGCAAAAGTCGGAATCGTAGCCCGACTCGTAGTCGATCATCGGTGAACAGCGATCAAGATGCCGCGATGGAGGACGATCGACAGACGACCCGTGATCAAGATTAATGCGGCCGAACAGCTTGGTTTATGCGCCGTCCGTGCGGATCGTTAGCGGCGACAATCTCTCAGCGCGTTGTCGGCGTCGATCGACATTCCTCTCGTGATACTCGCCGAAGGGAACTGATGATACACACACCCGTGTCTCCCTCGCTGTACTGTTCGTCACCTTGCTCAAAATCGTGTTCAATCTCTCGACAGTTTTATCCGGCGAGTTGTATTATATCTTTCTTATTCTGTTTTTTTTTTTTTTATAGTGGTGTACTTTGACAAATGTCGTTGGTAAATGTACGTAATAAATTTATTTGGGTGAATAAGTTTACTGTATTTGATCCGAGGAGTTTTGTCGATAATATTTGTAGATAAATAGGGGAAACTAATGTATAAATTGAGTAACGAATATTGGGTTCTTTCATGTAAACATAATCTTTGATGAAAATTTGAACGAATTTTGTTAGTCGGAATGAAGCTTGAGAGTTCATATTATTTTCGAGTTTAAATTCAAAAAAGTAGGAATGGATAGTTCATTTGGTAATTATTCGAAGATACTTTCTTGTCCGATTTCTTTGTAATACACGGTTTACCAAAGACTAGAAAGAATCCTAATGTGTAATTTAAACGGAAAAGTTAGCAATTCCATGGATTCCATGGAATTCCAGGAACAAATAACGTCTTGTACAATCTGAGATGATCACTGGATTACAGAAATTTATGTAAATACAGATTTTTTGAAGTAATTTATAGAAATTGAAGTCAAATAGCACAAATGTAAGATACATATGGTAATAAATATGTGAAATCCACTCTGGAGTCCTCAGGCATCCAAAATTCATGACCCCCCGACAACAATTGCATCCGTAGTCTTATTGTATCTGAAGTCACTGAAGCAATCTGTAGTGATATCATCATACAAAATGGAAGAAATGAAAGCTAAAAAGTTGACAATATAAATTGTTTAACTCATTAGGCTTACGTGGGTTAAAAACTGACCCACCTTTTGCTTAGCTTTTTATGCATGGTGGGGTATATTTGAACCCATCTCGAAAAGTTGAAGTTACTCATAGTCATACAGTTTAATATTCCATTTTTATATAATTTTGTTCATATTAAAAAAAATTCTGTGCAACTAGGGTTTTTATTTTCTTTAAAATCGTGTGTCTCAAAGGTTTAACCCTTCAAGGCCTGAATTGTATTATTATTACTTTCATACAGAATTTTTATTCCAGATACTTGAAATCTGTTCAAATATGTTCATTTGCATTTTTCTATTCTATTTTATGCAAGTAGCTAAATATAGTGTCTCTAAGTGCAAGCACCATTTTATAGCATCTCCAAGGGCATCCAAGAAGTAGTAACTAATACGAGTCCCAGCCAGATTCTAAGCATATTGGTTCATGGCAGTATTTTACAGTATTATAAATGATACTGCATACCACCGTCAGGACATAAAGTGTTAAACAAGAATAGTCTGATGCTTCAAAAACAAATCTCTACGATACACTTCCACGTCTATTCCTACTGACAATTAATTGCAGAATAATTCTATATGAATTCATACCAGTTCCAACCACTGCTGTCGATATCCTGGTCACGTCCTCGGAAAAGGAAGCGATCCTAGCAGAACACGGATAATTTCCTCATCGAACGTTTCTCTCCGTTCCGCGATTTTTACGGGGCAACATTTCACGGCCGTCGAACGAGCACCGTGGGCACCGGGGGTACGAGTGTCAGGCGCGAACGGGGGTCAGGGTCCCGAGACTGAGGTAGCCCGAATAAAACCAACGGCCATAACTCTTCCGAGCGGCGGGGTCAAGGTGGGTTAGAAAGGATCGAGAAGTGATTAGTGGTATTTACCGGTCCCCACTGAGAGAGAGCCTGCCGATTCCCGGTACCGCTCGGACGTCCCGTCGGGTCCCTGCATACGCGGTCACAATGCCGCGATCTAACTGCTCCCCTATTCTTCGGCCGGGACTATCTCTGTCGCTCTTGGCGGTCGGTGCGACACTACCGGGGGAATCCATCAACCGATATTAATGCGATTCTAACGGGCCGGCCACGAGGCATTTAAAGAGTTTTCTCCGAGCGGCACGGAGAACAACCGTTTTCCATCCGGTCCCAAACTTCCTCGGAGGTCCAGCTCCCCGGATGGGCCCGATGAAAAGGATCGCCAGGACCTTCGAAGGCTATCTCGATCTACGTCGATTTGTCTTTCCCGTCCGTGTGCTGTAACGAATGACGATCCTGAAGGAACCTACCAGCGCGCACGTGGAGGGCTCTCCCCTCTATTTCATGGCGAACAAAATCGAGCTTCCGGAAGTGGACGAGCATCGTGTTGGTATATAGAAAAGCTTACGGCTACTCTTACGCGATTGAATCCCGTATTAAGTTGAACTGTTTGGAAATAATTGTGTTTGGCGCTTGAATCGTCTGAAAGGATGGATTATAATTCTTGCAATTGCATTGGGAATATTAATTTTAATATGTCGTTGTTCACAAAGTTGTTGAAAATATCAATACGTGGAATGGTTCTTTTTTTCTTGAGTTGTACGGACTTCCCGAATCTTGGTTTAAATTTTATTTATATTAGAGACTCGATTATCGAAATGTCGATTGTCTGAATACCGTTTAACTCGTCTCTTAGGCATCTAAACCAGTGTTTCCCAACGTGGGGCATACGAAATATTTTTGTTTTACTTTGTCAACACAATTTTAATAACTTCGACTTATATTCATGGTATACCTATCTCGAAGTTTCGCAACTTTAATTGTCTTTAAAATAATTAAGTGTCTACACCTAACATATCACTAGAAACCTGTATACTATCATTTTACAAAACCCCGTTAAAATTGAAGTCGGACAGATGGAGTCTTCCTTGATAGTAACGGAAATCTTATTAAAATAATTGATTCAGAAATAAAAGGAAAGTAATTCTTCTTAAACAACTGTATTAAACCTGTTGGTCTCATCAGGGCTATATGACCCGAAATAAGAATTGCCCTTTAATAGGTATTATATTTCCAAATATTCATATTTAGTATCCCACGTATTTAAATTTCACATCAACTTTTTATCTATTTCAAATTTCCTAGAAACAAATTATTTCAAGATTTGAAATCATTCTATCCAAGGGGATACAAACGTTAAGAATAAATAAGTAGAAGAGCAGTGTTAATAAAAATATTGTATACAAACGAACAATTTAAGAGACCAGGGATGTTCTATAAAGTCCAAAACACAGCTTCCAATATTTGCATAATCACACTCATAGAATATTCCATAATAAATAACTTTCTTCTCATCCATCCAGTTCGGAATTTAAACTTAAAAAATTAATTTTTTACCGTCCTGTCCAAAGGTCCATATACGGATGACGCGGCAGTCGGTGTATTAAAGAGCAGGCGACGCGACACGAACGGTAGTTCATTCGAGAGGCCCTGTCTCTTCCGTGGCCACGGGCAACACGCGGTAACGAAGAAAACATGTAGCGGCCTTAATTCAGGTCCGTTGGGCCGGTAGTTTCGGGTGGCTCAGCGTGCGACCCATTGTGAGCGGTAACGAGTAACCAGCCGCAGGTATTATGACTGTTCGCCTCGTGTATGCTCTTCGTAACCACGGCTTATTATTTTGTATGATCCGGGGCAACACGACGACCGACGGGGCGAGGGGGCGGGGACGCATTCCGGCCTGTTAATGAGTCGGATCGGACTTACGTCGGCTCGATAACTCGATATTGCAACCTTGAGAAATACGATCATCATCCCGCCCACGCACGACTTTCTACCAACAGGTGTTTTCGCGATGTCTCGCGACCGGTTTAACTCGACTCGCTCGAAAATGACCGCTCGCCAGACTTGACGCGGCCGAATGAATTCCCATTTTAGGATGACGGATATTTTTTGTATGTCGCGAACTCGATTCGAGTGGAAAAAATGTACGGTTATTGATGTCCTCGCGATGTAGTGATCATCCAATTGGAATAACGTGTTTTGCAGCATTATAATTATGACTTCATACTGACCACTTTAGTAGATTCATCGAGTTAACCAAATGGGAGAATTATGGTTGATGTGCTATTAGGGTAGTTTGTGGATGTGTATCGTATCACTGTCCCTCTCAATTTCGTCGTGGGTGAGACAAACAGGGGCCTAGGTAAACAAAACATGATTGCGAATTTTAATGTAAATTTGGATTCTTATAGCTTAATTTATTGAACTGAAATTAAGTTATATATTTATTTTCATTATTAAAGGTATTCTTTGGGAACCGACAGTATCAAATTTCAATAGATAATAGATACTTTACAACTCATATAATATTCAAAAAAATATGTTTACACCTTGTGAATGGATTTTAGCGAAACATTTTGAATAAAAGTGATGGTTTTCTTTACAACTATTATATAAAGTTACGACTTTCTTGGTACAATTTCTAGCTACATATCTAGACCCCAGAGCCAGAGCGTATTAATTGTGATTTCGTTCTAAGTCGTCTAGTTTTTAATATAGATACATAATAGTATAAAAATGATATTAACTTCATATTTTTAAAATAGTCTAAAGTTCATAACATAAATGAATTAATGAAAAACCATTTCTAGATAGGTACCTATAGGAACTTGCCTTATATCCATTCAATAGTTCGAAGGTAGCGATTGTTTCTAGCTCAATTCGAATTGCTCAAACATAATACACTCTGGCTCTGGGGTCCAGATATATGTATTCACCTAAATGAAAAATAAAATAAAAGTGTCTCCACGTTTAACCTGTTAATGACCGATATACCGTCTATGAGACATAAAATAAAAAGAAAACTCCACTCTTGTTACCCTAACAGACTCTATGATACACACTACACACAATTTTCATTTATATTCACCTTACTTCAACCATCCCTTCTCTTAAAACACCAACTATATATTATATGGATTCCTTTCCACACGATGAATACTTGCAATGAATAATTGCATGCATTACAGGGAGCCCTTCTACACGATTCCTATGAAGAAATC